CTGCTCACTAATCAATTATAATTCTTAGACAAGCTCCCATATGGTGCCTTTATAAATCACTCTCTCCAGTTATCAAGCCTGTCTTATTTGCCTGACATGAGCTGTAAGGAGGGTGGTTTTTAGGCTAATGTTGACTCAAGTGCACAGAATGTGATTTATTTATAGAGTTTTAGAGAAGTGTTTTAAAAGTCAAAATCCGGGTCCTTACGGAGCTAAACCAAAAGCTGACGACTCATTCTGCAGCCTCTGCCTGAGCATCTCTGTAAGAAGCCCTGGTTTGGGGGATCTGGCCTGTAAAAACAGGTCCCCAGACACCGCAGGGAGCTCGGTGGGCACAGGGGAGCAGCTCTCCATCCCTCGCAGGGCACGGGGATGCTGGGGACGGGTAGGGCCACTTGGGCAGAGAGCTGAAATTCGGGGGCTTGGTGGAGGGGCTGGACAGAAAGCAGGGATGAAGGAGCTCGGGGGAAACCAGAGCAAAAGAGAGGAGCCCTTTGACCCCTCATGAGAGCAGAAAACAGCCCAAGGTGCTTGGGGTACGTGGGGTGCTGCTGATTCTGAGCACAGAGCAGAAAACCGGGGTATGGCACAGCCGGGTACCCTTGCCATGGGATAGAAAGGGTAAATGGCAGCAGGGCTCTGGGTACTGGCGTTTATTTACCGGCCAGAGCCGAGCTTTTACCCGGCTCTGTAATCTCACAGTGACTCTCTTGCTCCCCCCAGTGCTGCCTTCACCCATCTCCGCCGAGCGCCGAGGTCCCCGAGCATCCCGTGCCCGCTTCCTCCCCACCTCCCCAGCTCCCACTTCTCCCCACGAACACTTCTCCAGGTCGGGGACCCAGATTTTTGCCCCGTCTCCTTTTCAGAAACATAAAGCCCCCATTTTTCCCAGCCTAAGCAGCCTATGTGCCAAACAAAGCACAATGTGCAACCAGCCTCCTGATCAGCCGATCTGCCTCTCGTCTATTTTTTAATCACAGGTTTCGGGATTTGTCACTTGCTTCTTATCAAAATTCACAGCCAGCCTGCACCGGTTGCAGCCGATGAGTAACAGGTTTCTGCTGGAGAGCCCCAAAGTTCTGGTTTGCCATCCACCCCCCATGGCACAGCCATCCAGATACCTCCCCCCCGACACAAATTCGCAGTTTTCTGTTTCACCTACGCCAGCCCTGACCTACACGGATGCTCTCTGCTCAGACGGGGTTGTACCCGTTGCTGCACATTTTAACCCCTCTCCCACGGAGCTCTGGTTCTGGCTCCTGTCGTGCCAGAAAGGGGGGGAGCAGGGAGGGGATATTTCCCCTCCTGACGGTGCTGAATAATCAACGCTTTTCTTTTTCCCATGGGAAAAAAAAAAAAAATCAACCTGAAAGGAAAACCCAGAGCATTAGCTTGGTGTCAGGAGGAAAGGGAACCTCCCTGGGCACGGCGCGTTTGGGTGATTTGCATGATTTGAAGAGGAATAAGAGGAAGCCTTGGGTAGGAAGGGGAGCGAGGAGGGTTCCGGGCAGGTTTCTCAGGAAGGCAGCAGCGCCCTGACGGCACCCAGCTGCCACTGACCCGCCTGCTCTGCACAAGTTGGAGCCTGCACCTGCCTCAGAGCACTTTTAGGGAGGAGAGGAGGAAGCCTGAGGCTTGTTAACACGACGATGCTAAGGAGCAAAGCCTGGAAAGCGGGGCCCTCGCCTTCCTCGAGGCTTTCGGGGTCAAAGCTGAGCTCCCTTCACCCTCACCCTCTGCGGGGCTTTAACCTGCAATCCTCCGGCACAGGACCACCGGGGGCGGCCTCAGCGTGCCTCTGAGCCTCTGGGCTCTGTTTTCCCCCTCTCCGGGTTTTGGGGACCCCCCTGGGTTTCGGGGCCCCCCCCGGGGCCGTGCCGGTGTCCGCGCTGCGCTGCGCCCGCCAGGTGCCGCCCTCGCCCCGCGCATCCCCGAGCATCCCCCTGCGCCCTCCCATGGGCTGCACCCCCCCGTCAGCCATGGCAACGCCTTGGCAACGCCCTAGCAACGGGTCCTGGACCCCCCCCATCCCTCCTGCACCCATCACTTGGGTGTCCCCCACCCTAAAAAAAAAAAATCCTTGTCCCCAGCTCTGTCCTCCCCGGTCACCTCCCTGGGGGGAAAAAAAAAAAAACCACAAATCTGGCTGCCCCAAAAATGTCCTGAGTGGGGTGGGGGAGAGAGCAGTGGGGTTTTTTGGGGGGGAACTGCTGCTAAAACCTGATGAATGTGTTGCACAGAGGGTTGTGTGGGGCTGAACGCTCTGCTGGTGATGCCTCTGTGACTGTGCAGCTCCCCGCCCTCAGCACCGGACGCGTTCGTCCTTTCCTCCTCTCTCCGTTCTTGTCTTTTTCAATGGTCGGAGCTGCTCGGGGAGCTGCAGGGTGTGTGGGCAGAAGTGGATCGCTTCCAAGGGAGCAGCAGCTCCGCTGGATGGGGAAGGTGATGCGGGCAGGCTTTGGTGCCGAGCTGGGCACTGGCTGGCGACGTTCATATCTGGCTGGCCTCGCTGAGAAGCAGCAGCTCAGGCTGTCCAGAAACTCAAGCAAGCCCTTCAGATGGCAGACTTCCCTTCCTCCCTTTGCTTCTCCAGCCAGGTCTCATTCTTGCCCTGGGTGGAGGCAGATTTCCACCCCGCTGGGAATAGGAAGCTTGTGCTGGGGGGAGAGCAGGGCCCTCGAGCACTGCCCGTGGGATGAAACGCGAGCCTCGGTGCCGTGCACATCAGCAGTGATCCCCTGCAAATTAAATTTGGTGTGCCTGTCCTGGGTAAAATCTTACACAACTGAAAAAAATCCTTCAGCCTATTGCCTGTTCTGGTCAGGGAGATGCTTTGCTCTCGCTGCCGTTTCTAAAACAACTCGAACAAATCTAAAACAAAAAATAAAATAAAATAAAATAGACCTGGGGGGCTGCAGCTTCGGCTCCTGCCTCCTCTCCAGCAGGGGCAGGACATGGGGGATGGCTTTGGGTGAGCTGCATTTGCACTCCCTGCAGGAGGCTGGGAGCCACCCCCTCATTTTTAGGAGTTTGATGCTCTGAAGACATTGGAGGAGCCTTAACTTTGAGGTCTTTATGTTGACTCAGAGAGGAGTTTTGACCCAGCCTCTCAACAATCCTTGGCTGGCCGCATCCCTTCCCACCCCTCCCAAGCTGTTAGCGGAGGGCTCCCTCGTCCCTCGGAAGTGCTCAATTAATTTGACTTGGGCCATGTCTGGCTTATTCCTTGCCTGGCCCCTGGGTCGAGGGGTGTCACCGTGGGGTCCCCTGAGGCTGGCCCCCGGAGCAGGAGGGGTCGTGCAGGGGGCCGGAGGCGTTTTGAGCGGGGTGTGACCCCTTCTCCCCTTTCCCCAAGGACAAGGGAGCTCGGCACAGAAGGCAGGCTTGGAGGCACCTCCCCGCCACTCTGCCTTACCCTCCTCCAAGCCAAGGCAGTAAATCACAGCCCTAATTGAAACCATGCCTGGGCTGTGCCGGCCTGAACTCTGGGGTGAGCGTCCCTGCTTGTAGGGTGGCTGCTTGCAGGGACAGGAGGGCTCCTGGGGTGTCAGCGAGCAGGGCTGGGTCTCTAACGGGCTGCTTGGGGCTCAGGCACCACCAGAAATATGCAAAGGGACAGGGGAGCCTCCCAGCACTCGGGGCGATGCTCAGCGCTGCCTTGCTTAGCTCAGGACCGCTGTGGGGCTTCCAGCATCCCTACAGGGGATGGAGGGGATGGGCTGGTTCCCAGCGGGATGGGATGGGATGGGAAGGGCTGGGGTGGGATGGGATAGAGAGCATGGTCCCGCAGCCCCAGGGCTGCTCTGAGCCGGGCTGCAGCTTTTTCTGCTCCCCCCCCCCCTTTGGCTGGGGAGCTCTTGCTGCCACGTGGCCTTTTCCACTACAGCACCCTCCTCTCCTCTCCTCTCCGCCCCGCTTTGCTCCTTGCTTCTTTTTCTTTTTTTCCTCAGGAAACATCTGGAAGCTGAGCGAGAAACATTAAAAGGAAAAAAAAAAATGAAGGAAAAGAAAAGAAAAGGAGAAAAAAAAAAAAAAAAGCAAGGGGGAGGGGATCTTGGGAACACCATATGATTTCACTTTCCTAAGACAACTGCAATTATGCCTTTGAGGCTTTACCAGTCACTGTAGATTCAAACCATGTTGGATGATGTAAGTGGGAAAATATGAAGGACCTACTGGCTGTTTGAGGGAAGAAAAAAAAAAAAGAAAAAGGATCAGTTTCTGGCATTTTATTTAACATTATGAATCAGAAGAAGGGCGACAACCAGATGGACTTTTTCTTTATTGCTTTCCTGGGCTTGCTTGTGCCTTGCTGATCCCTTCGGAGAGGGGGAAATGCTTCCAGCAGCCTGCTCCCAAACCGTCCCGGGCTGGGCTTTGCACCGAGAAGGGATTTGGGTTTCTTTTTTTTTTTGAAGCCCAGCACTGGTGAGCGGGGTAAGCAGGAGCTGTTGGTCCGAAGGACCCCTCCTGTGCCTGCCCTGCCAGGGTTTCCGCAGGCTCCTCTGCACGGAGGGAGGCTTCAGCTGGGGATAAAATGGGTCTGAGGGCTACTGAGGGATTTGCGCTCTCCCTGTCCCTCAGACAAGGCAGAAACCCTTGATTCAAGCAGCTCCAGGCACCAAAACCTGTCCTGGGGTGTACGGGGAGCACCCCCCTGTACAGACACAGAGCAATGCTTTTTCCAGCCCTGCAGACATCCTCAGGTCCAACGTTGCCCCACTTCCCACCCCAATTTCCTCCCCATCCCCCAGAGGGATTTAGGATCTTTTTTTTTCTTTTTTCCCCCAGATAAAGCCCTCTGCGGTCTGTTCAGCTGGGCTCACGGCCCAACACAAATATTGCTTGTTTTCAGCGACCAGGAGGATTCCTGTTTGCAGGCAACATCCAGCTCCCTGTGCCTGTTTGGTGCTGGGCCACGCTCGGGAGTTTGGGCTGTGGAGCCTGGAGCCCGGCACTGGGACAGAGCCACTTGAAAGGATCAAGATGTTGCTGTCGGATTTAATCGACTTTCCACTGGAAAAAAAAAAAAAAAAAAGCAGGAGGCTGCAGGAGAGCTGGGCTTTCAGATAAAGCGGGCGAAGCTGTCATCAAATAGGCTTGGGAATCAAGAAAAAAATGCTCCCCCAGCAAGAAATCAGGTGAGCACCTGGAGAGGGGGGAGCCAGTGCCAGGAGAAGTTGTCCAGAGCCACCCCTGCTGAGAAGCCCTGGGGGAAAGAGGTGCTGCTGGGGCCCCTTTTAAAGGGGTTGGTGGGGTTTTGGGGGACATTTGCTCATTACAGGCGAGAGCAGAGGAGGTTCTCTGGAGTTTTGGCTGGAAAAAAGAAAAGAGGGAATTATTTCCTAATCTTTTTGGCTACTGGAACTCAGAAAGTGTTGGTGCTCGGTTTCTCTGCTCACCATCACTGATGACAGGGACTCTGTGTTTCGGTAAAACCAAGGCTGTTTAAAGGAAAATGTCCAACGTAGAAATTTCGATTCCATAAAATTTTGTCAGGACAAGTAAAAACAACAGCATCCCTGTGTCCGAGTCAGGCCTGGCTGTGCCGTGTGGCTGCATGGCTGCTGGTTTTGGAGGACACCCGAGCAGGGCAGGAGCAATGGGGGATGCTTATAGCCTCCTTAGCACACATCCCCTGTGCCAAAATGCTGTGTGGCAGGGAAACGTCCCGTCCTACCCTGCCTTCCCCATCATTAAGTAATGGAAGAAATCATCCAGCTTGAGTAAAACCTCCCCGCAGACCTGCCCTGCCTGGGGATCCCCACCCAGGGGACCTGGGGGGTCCTCGCCCACCCCACGCTCCCTCCTCTGCGCCCACCCTGGTGGGAGTCAGAGCCCACGTGGGAAGGGTTTGCTGGGGTTTTCCAGGCACTGCACCACCTTGTAACCTTTTCTTTTGTTTTGCTGTTTCTGGCAGAGCAGAGGGAAGTGGTGATAACTGCAGGGAGCTCGTAAAACCCGGGGATGGGAAGGAGCCTGGGGGGGCGCAGCCCAGGCACAGGAAAGCAGCTCTCCTCCCCGGCTCCATCCCCAAATCTGCCCACCCCAGCAGGGATTTTCCTTTCTTTGGGGTTGATGAAGTCCTGAGCACACCAGGTGATGGCAGCATCCATGGAACCATAATCTGGGGATCCCTGGGGGCTGTGGGTGGGTTTTCCTTGCAGCCAGGGGGGGCTCATGGCAGGCACCACCCCTGCCCCTACCACAGCTGTATCACACATCATGAGCATTATTAACTTTTTTTGTTATTAACCTAAGATAAGGTCAAAGCCCCTTTGGGATGGATGCTGAGTTTCAAGAGACTTTGACTTCAATGAGTGGCCGCAAGTGAAGAGGAGGCTTGGAAAGAAGCAGCAACGTTTCCAGGGATGCCAAAGCCTTGGTTTGACTTTTTCTTTGTCTGGAGCCTGGGGCTAAGCATGGAGCACACCCAGCCATTTAGCCAGTGAGATCTGCAAGGCTTCTGCACAAAGTGTGCTTCCTTCTCCAATGCCATCACTTGAAATTGAGCGTGAACTTGTACAGAGCCCGGCTCCCCTCTGGCACCGCTCTCGGAGCGCCGCTGGCCGCTCTGCAGCAAACCAAGGCAGCCCAGGTCCTCCCAGCCCACTTGGATCCGCTTTCCCCACATCCTGCAGTGTGCCGTAGCTCTGGAAGATGACCAGAACCCAGTTAAAAACTCACTCAAGCCAATGCAAATCTCTTGCTCGCTCCAGCAGGCTCTGGTGAGGCTTGTGCTGAAGGCACGGGGTTTTTGCTGCTTTTGAGGATTATCAAAGCCATAACCCGGTTTCCTTACACGCTGAAAACAACAAAACACAAATGTTCCTGAAAAACGAATCCATCCGGGCTGTGAACATGGGCACACAACAGCTGCAGCTGGCTTGGAGCACAGGCACACAGCAGGGCACTGCAGGCACGCAGGAGAAGTCAGGTCCACGGGACCCAATTTACGGCCTCCTCCTTGCAGCACCAAGTGCCCGCTTCCATGGGCGATCTGTGCAGCCAGGTTACACCTCAGCCGGTCTCTGTATATGTGTTTTTATTAACCTGACCTTTTCAAGCTGTTCACACGGTCTGTGGGATGATGCCTTGGAGCCTTACAGGATTTTTTTGGCGGTGGCAGTGAATAGCTTCTCCTGACACCTTCGGGGAGAGGCAGCTTTGGCCTTTCGGTGATACGCCGTAAACAGCCTGCACGCCTTGCTCTCAGCACCCTGAAAGGCTTTGCTGGCTTTTTGGGAGTCCACAGGGGGAGGCAGGAGTGAAAATGAGAACTGGAGTGTTTCCAGCTTGTGGGGCCTCACGGCCAGCCTCTGCCAGCCCCCTCTTTGCAGGGGGTTCTCCTGCCCAAATGTCCCCTGTGTCAGAGACAGCCCTGGAGAGAGATTTAGGGACCTGAATCACACCCGTTTCCATCAGTCAGGTGTTTAATGTAACCTTTAGGCCCTGGGCTCAAACACCTCATGTTTTGAGATAAATGATTTTGGGCTACAAAAAGATCCCTGGTGGAGCTGCAAATGACCTCGCTGGCAGGGCTGGCACCTCTGTGGAGATAACCGACCCCAGCCCCCCAGCCTTGGCTTTCCAAATTGCCATATGAGGGAAATATTACTCCTAACTGCTCTTTACCTTGCGCTATTGTGGATCGTGTTATGGTTTTAGCCTCCCTGGCTGAAGCCAAGACTAATCCTAAATCATGAATGGGTATTAGGCAGGGGGCGTGGAAGCGAGGGCACCGCACAAGGCACCCAGACACAGGAGCCGGAGCCTTTGGTCCCTGCTGGTGCCTCCCTGCTGCTCTTCCTCCTCCTCTTCCTCCCCCACCAGCACCTCCTGCGGGTGCGACCAGCGCCTGCGCCCCTTAGCTTAGGCCATTTGGCTCCAAAAGTGCTTAAAGCCCCGAATTCCCCCCTTTTTGCCCAATTAAGAGGGTTTCAGAACTCAGCTTACAGCAGTTGATTCATTCCCCAGGCACATCCTGCTCGCTCTGCGAAGGCAGAATGAGGAGGAGCATTTCAGTCTCTATCTAAACCCACGACTTCAGCCGTCCCTTTGGTGGCTGGGAACCGAGCCTAGACATGAAATAATGAACTCAAATCCTTCGATGCATTGACCAAAGAAAACAAGCTGTCAAGTAGAAATATTCCCTCGCTTCTTCTCGAGGCGTACCAAATCTCCTTCCCATCTGTACGTATCGTTACGGCGGGGAGGCAGCATGAGTAACTCAGCGTGAAATTGTCAGCGGCTGCATGTGATGCTGTTTGGAGGGCATAAATCAGGCTGGGAAATGAAAAGCGCTGTCCTCTTCCTTCCAGGTTTGCTCAGCGTTTTATACCTCTGTGGGGGTGTTGTGGAGGAGTCGTTGGGCGGATTCAGCCCACGCCCAGCGTTCGCTGTGAGGGCCTTAATTAGGTTCAGTTGGTTTTGTCTCATTTGCATGAGGCCGTGGCATCTCCAGCAAAACCCCAGCAGAGTCAACGACTGCACTTAAGCACAGAAATGCTGACGGAGGGGCTGAATCTCCCCAGGTTTGCCTGCTTTCAGCTCCTGGCTCAGCCTGGAGAATGAAAGAGGGCAGGGCAATTTCTTTGCGCCTTCCATGGATGTGCCTGAGAAAACTCCAGCAAACCATGCAGGGATGTCTGGGTGTTGAAAAGCAAGAGCTGGTTTTGAAAGGAGAACTTGGTGTGCTGCAGTGCTTATAGCTAGAGCCTTCACTGCTCGTCCTGGGGCAGAGGGAAAAGCCCTGCAATTACTCCGTCCCCATTTAAAGATGTCCTGAGCCACGCAGCCCTGCGCTGAGCACTCCTCAGGGGAAAGAGGATGTCTCCGTTCTCCCCCTGGGGCACTGCAGGTGCGGGGATGTTTGAGGCTGTCCAGTATCTGCCAGCAAATACAGATTGCAGATCCCACTGGATCAATTCAGGACACCGTGGTGATGGCACTGATGGCAGGTCCAGGGCTGCTCCGTGTCGGAGAGCTGGGTCTGATCCCTAAAGGCTCCTTCTGCCTCTGTCTGCTTCAGCTTTGCTGGCTTTGGGGTTCAGATCTTTACCCAACTACAGGCTTCCCTGCATCCCCAGCCTCCCCGCCTCTCTTCCTCTCCTAAAAGCAGACCAGAGCTGATCTCTGTGCTTCTCAGAGCTTGCTCAGCTCCTCCACTGCAGAAGCTCTTCAGACTGTGCTACCGAGGCCGTGAATCCTCAAGCAAAGCAATGATTAGTGCAAATTTTCCTAGACAGCTGCTTCCATCTGCTCCGTGGGTTATTTGTATTTGCTCAGTGCGGGTAGCAGATTTTTTGATGAACTCACATGGTTTCTTGCAGTTGAGTTTGACAGAGTGAGATGGGCCATTTAATTTAAGCCAGTTCCTCCTCCTTGTCTTTTTTTTTTTTTTTTTTTTTTTTAAATATAAAAAGCTTAGCTGAGGTTTTTGTTTCTTCCTGCATGACAATGTTGTGTAGAACAGAACCTCTGAGGAAACACAAGCATTAGGAATATCTCGGATGCTTGGCTGAGGAGCTGGAGAGACGGAAGGAGCTCTCCGCACGGCTTCGCGCTCATCACAATCACTGCGTTTTCACGTGGGTTTGCTACACGGGGCAGGTTCCTCACATCTGCCCAGGGAAAAAAACTCTCCTTTCTTCCCCTCTTTCTCCTGCTCGGGCTGTGGATTGCCAGCGGCCCTGGGGAGCACCACAGTGCGTCACCACCGAGCTGCAAGCGGAGCTGCAAAGCCAGGAGGAAATTCCGATTCGGGGGCGGTTTGGGCTCGCTGGGAGGAGGCTGCCTTTGGGAACGAGGTGGCTGCCGGAGCCCTGGCCTCAGCCAGAGGCTCAGAAACACTTCTAGGGGACTTCAGAGCAAAATATGCCCCCCTCCAGGAGCAGAGGCTCTGACAGGTCCTGCATCACCTCCTGCCACCCCCGCAGAAGCATTTTGCCCCAGCATGGGGCCACCCTGGGCTGCAGCACCGAGCGTGCTGGGGAGCCAGAAGGAACTCAGGGACTGATTTATGATTTTTATTCATAAATAAAGCAATTATCTGACCAGGTAGTGCAAGGTTTTCAGCACTTCCTCAGCAAATCCTTGTTACTAGGCCTGACTTTTACGTGGCATTAACGTTAATGCTCCTTCACCCTGTTCCAGTGAGATCGGCCCATTGATTGCCAAATACTTCGCTGCTGGACGCCTGCCTCGCAGCTTTGAAGCCCACTTTTGCTGCTGATGGATCTCTGCTTCCAGCGAGCAGATGAAGGGGATGGAGAGCTGCTGTGTGGGGCCAGCAGCACCTGGAGGGAGGGTCTGGGGGCTTGGTCTTTGGGGGTCTCCCAGACCGCCCTAACTCAGGAGCTGGTTTGGTGCTGTCTCAGCTGACACTGCCAGGCTGAATTCTGCTCAGCAGCCCCGGCCCTGGTGCGTTGTCAGCTCTGAGCAAACTTCCACCGGCTGGCAGGTGGGGAAAGAAATCCCTGCCCTGTGCTGGCACAGCAGCAGGAGCCCTCGGAGAGCCCTGTGGGCACAGGCACTGCCTTCACTGGCATTTTCTGTTCCATTTGACAATCCTGAATTTGCAGCCTTGTCCATGACCGGGGCTTCTTGTCATTCCCTTAATCTGCGTGGTATCATCTAGACCCTCTACTATCCCTTACCCCTTCCCAGGGAGCAGGATTAACCAAAAGATTGGTAGAGAGGTCTCCGCCAGGCCCCACTGTCAGAAAGCATCTGGCCCGTCAGCAGGAACGTCCTCCAAATTCACACTTTTCTCACCAGCGAAGAGTTATTGTGAGAGGTTGCTCCAGCAGCCTTGCAAAGCCGGATCGTGCTGCACTGCGCTCTGCAACCATCTGGAAGGCGTTTGGGATCGCGTGTGGCTCAGCCTTGCATCTTGAGCCCAGCCGGGCTCGTAATTAATTGCACAGAAAGGCTCTGCCACGTCGTGATGCTGCGCAGCCTGGGAGCGTGGATGCGAGGGGTGGGAAGCGGCAGGCAAGGCATTACAGCAAACCTGCGGGCCCCACGGAGGGCGTTTTTATGGGGGTAAGGGGGAGATGAAGCGTGAGATGGAGGTCATAGGCAGATAAGCTGGAATTTTGGGGTAATATCGACATTCCTTGGGCTGATACTGGATGCAGGAAGAGGAGAGACAATGGCAGTGCTCACTGATGGGGAAAGTGGGTGCCCGAGGAGGCTCAGGGCACCAGCTCTTGCCCTGGGCATCACTTCAAGGGCAGGGATGTCCCCCCTGCCCCGATTTGTGCCTGCTTCCACAGCCTCCTGCCCGCTCTCCTTCCCAGCGTTTCAGGAGGGCAACACCTCTCGAAAGGCTGTTCTCCGTTTGGTTTTGATTCCTATCTCCTGCAAAGCTGCAATTCCTCCTTTGTGACCTGCCGGCTGCTTCTCGGGGGAGAGCGCGGTGACAAGGGAGCTTTGTCCAGCTGCCTTGCTGGAGAGGCAGCCAGCGCTCGCTGTCCTGCTTAAAGTGGGGCATTGAAAAACCCCGGGTTCAAATGGGCTTGACACGAAACTCCCCTGCTCCAGCCTAAAGGCACTGGAGCAGGGGGACGGCTGGCCGGGCTGCGTTCCTGTGTGCTGCAGATGTTTGGCTGCCCCTTTCCCCCAGGTCTGGCCATTGCTTTCCCAAAGTCCTGGGACGTGCCAGCAGCCCGTGTCCGTGTCCGTGTCCTTGTCCCTAGCCCTATCCGTGTCCTTGTCCCTGCCCATGCCTTTTCTTTTCTGCCTGAGCTCTCCTTTCTGTGCCTTTGCCATCAGCCACAGACGCGTCCTGGTGCCCGCTCGTTTTGTGGAGGAAAGGGATCTCTGTGGGCTGGGGCGGTGGGGCAGGGGATGGATGAATGGTGCCTCTGTTCGGCACAGAGGGCTTGGGTTTCAGCTCGGGGAGGGAGTGTGTGCCGGAGCAGCCCTGGAGAGGCCCTGGTTTACAAAACAAATAAACCACTGTGCCTTACAAGCGGGAGTAATCCGTTATTCCAAAGGGTCCAGGGATGATTTACCACCTGACGGCAACCTCCCCTACATTTTAGAAGGGGGGTTAACAAATGGAAG